GGTGAAAAGAATGGGAGTCCTTGCAGATCTGAGGAAGAAAAGAACTGTATCACTGGGTGCTTCCATTTTCCTCTATTCACCCACCTTCATCCCAACTTGAGAACCCAGAAATTTACCAGGAAGCTCCTCTCTAAAAAAATTGGAAAAAGAATTTTTAATTAAGCTTCTATTCTAGATGTGAATAACTCAGAATAAAACTTTTTCAGCCTTGTGTTTGGCGGAGGGGGAAACATAACATGAGAGATGCCAGGCTGAGTGTTGTCAACCTGTAAAACCCAAAATAAACAAAGAGAAAAACTGACTCATAAAATCAAATGATAAGATGTAAGGCATAGAAATAAAGTTTAAAAAAGCTAATTATATACACAGAGAGATCTGCAAAGACATTACTCCCTAAAACAACATGAGGGTGCTTTCAAAAGGAAACACTGAGAATACAACAAAGAAAAAAAGCATCTTCAAAATAAAATATTTACATAGAAAATAGAAAACAGTGTTTGGAAAAATCTCTCATAACAAGACATCAGAAGTCTGAGAGAAAAAAATTAAACACATAGGCAAAGAGCCCATACATTCCGACATCTGATTTGCAGGAGTCCTGGAGAACAAAGAAAAAATGAAGAGGAGGGACAGAATAAAGCTATAGGAGGAGAATTTCCCGAGGTTAAAAAAGACCACACACACATTAAGAGAGTTCAGAGAGTACCTGGTACAATGAATAAACAAAGCCCTACGCCAAGACATTCATTCATCTATTCCTTCATTCATGCAACAAACACCGTTGTGGATGACGGCGTCATGACTATTATTGAAAGAGTTATAATATCTGTCCTCAAGAAGCTCATATTTTGGAGACAGGAGACAAGAGCAAAGGAAACAATTCAAAAAGATAAGTTCTGATAGTAGTAAGTGCTATGAGGAAACTAAACAGGAGTAATGTGATTAAGAATGAAGGGAGAGTGCGTTTCCTCGGATTGGGCAAAGAGGGAAAACATTGCTGAGAAAGTAACATTGGAAGGGTCTAGTCAAGACGGAATCTGAGGGCAACGCACTTCTTATGAGATTTCAGAACACTTGGAATAAAAATTATTCTTAAAACATCCGAATAAAGTTGGCCCCAGAGAAATGAGAACTAGAACTGGTATTAAATTTCTTATCAGCAGCAATAAACTCTACATTACAAATAAAGCAATAGCTTCAAAGTTCTCAGAAAAACAATTTTTGGCTTATAACTCTACGCACTCAAACTCTCATTTAAATGTGAGGGAAGAATAAAGATACTTCAACACACTTGCAGGCTCAGAAAGTTTTTCTTGCCACGCCCCCTTCTCTAGGATGTTATCTAAGGATTCTTCTCTCGCCAGATGAGTTTACAAATACGCAAACAAAAGATAGTAGATACAAATGAGATCTATGAAAAGAAGTTCTAGGATATAAATTATGTCAAGAAAGCAACCAGTAGAATTGAAACAAAGGATGGAAAGATCCAGGAAAAAGAAGTCAATCAACAGAAAGTATTATCGAGAACTTAAAAATAAAGGGCAGAGGTAAAGGAAAGAAGAATAGGCCGTTAGAACTCAAAGACAAATGACACAAGAAAGTTGTGATCTAATATGATACAATTTTAAGGAGATTCCCATCTCTACTCAGTATCATCTCTACTCTTAGCATCTTCCTTCATCTACATCTTTATTTTCTGGAGAAAATGAACATGTGGTGAGGGGAAGGCAGATTCAAAGAAAACAGAGGAAATGAAAGTGAGGCAATTATTAACTCTAGGAAAATCAATGTTGCACAAAAGAGAAAATCTACTCTTGATACCCTACTTGTGGCTCAGCAGCTAACAAAACTGTCATAACCATAGTATGAAAATATCAATAGGGGATTTGACCACAAGTTGCGAAGGAAAAGCTGAACTCCTCATTTACCAAGATAGAAAATCACGAAAAAATGTCTCAATTTATCTATTATGACTTCAAAATATAGAGGTAGATACCAGAACAGACACCTAAAAAAGAATTTTAAAATTATTGCCCCTGGGAAGTAGGATTATTCAGAAGGCTGCTAGATTTTTGCTAGTTTTTAATTCTATTTGTGTTTTCCAAATGTAATAAAAATAATTCAAAATAGAAATTATTCTTTTTTTACCTCTATTTAGAAATTATTCTTAATTTATTAGTTGTGACTAATAACAATAGCTAACTTTCAGTGAGCACTTACTGTGTGCCAAGTATTGAGCTGAGAGCTTTACAGATTGTTACTCAAGTAGTCATGGTCTGCAACCCTCTAAGGTCATCTCCATTGCCATAGACTGAATGTTTGGGTCCCTGCAAAATTCGTATCTTGAAACCTAACTCTCACTGTGATATTATTAGGAGGTGAGGCCTTTGGTAGGTAATTAGATCATAAGGGCAGAGCCCTCATGAATGGGATTACAGATGGTACTTGATTTATGATGATTTGACTCAGGATTTTTTTGACTTTGTGATGCTGTGAAAGTAATATGTTTAATAAATTACATGAGATAGTCAACACTTTATTATAAAATAAGCTTATAAAATAAATTGGGTTTTGCCCATCTGTAGGTTAATGTAAGTGCTCTGAGCACATTTAAGGTAGGCTAGCCTAAGCTATGATGTTCAGTAGGTTAAGTTCATTAAATCCATTTTTGACTTATGATATTTTCAAATTATGATGGGTTTATCTAGATGTAACCCCATCCTAAGTCAAAGAATATCTGTAGTGACCCTTATAAAAGGGACTCTAGACAGATGCCTCTCCCTTTCTACCAGGGGAGGACACCACCAAAGACAGCTGGTGCCTTGACCTTAGACCTCCCAGCCTTCAGAACTGTGAGAAATAAACTTCTCTTGTTTTTAAGCCACCCAGTTTATGCTATTTTTGTAACCACAGCCCAGACTAAAACACTATTACCATCACCCCATTTTACATGACAATACTGAGGCCTAGAGTTAAGCAACTGCTTAAGCAAAGTCAAGATTTGAATTTAGATTTGACTCAGGAAACTGAGCTCTAGTTTCATACTGCCTTATACTTTGTAAAGATTTTATTTCCTATGCAATTCTAATAGGTACCGTCAAGAGGCCACACACCTGGTACATGTATCACACACACACACACACACACACACACACACACACACACACACGCACACCCCATCCCCTGGTGGAAAAAAGAACTCTTAGGACAAATGGCCATATTCTGTCATCTAAATAAGGTCTGATTGGCAGTTTCCTTTTTTTCTCTCTAATAGTTGAGATTGGCTAAATTAAATTAAAGCTTTCATTACTCAAATTTCAAGTGAAGCATTTTATAACATAAAACTCCACTGAGAACCAAAATGAAACAGAGTGTTTGTTGGTACCAAGCACCAAAAACGAGGGGCACTCAAGTTCTGTCCACTGAGCAGATCCTAAAAAACCCCCATGAACTCAAGATATAAAAGTTAAGGTTTTCATAGCTCTCAAAGAAGAGTTTTCCAACTTCTTTAGGCAAGGCTGCAGAAAAATTAATGCTCGTATCCGTTGCTGGTTATGGTACAAATTGGTACAACAGTAGGAAGGCAATTTGGCCATATTTATTGCAACCCCACTTCGGGACATTTATTCTACAAATATACAGCCCACAAGACAAATGCTATATGCAAGAGGTTGTTTATTGCAGCATTGTTTTAATAATTAAAGTTTAGAAATAACCCCACTGACCATCAAATGGCAACTAGTTAAATTAGAAAATAGAATTAAATGGAATGTTATGCCATGGTTAACAGTAGTGATTAAGGGCGCAGCTCTGTAAATTGCCTGGGGTTAAGTTTGGGGTTAAGTCCTGAGTAATATGCAACATAGCCACCCTGGATCACAAAATCCTTCTGTTAAGTTTTTAGGGATTTTGTCAATTGTTTATTTAAGATAGCCATTATTAAAAGTTAAATTATGTAAACCTACAATTAAGTAAGTGTTATTGAAAACAAAGGTAATGCTCAAATTCATCGCCTCCTAATTATTCTACTATACCTTACTATGGTCTGTGCTCTGGACCAGGCTCTGTAAGTCTATCACATCTATGTGATAAAAAAATGTGTAATGGTGCGTGACTGGCATCTGCTCCTTACTCAGTGTCTTCACATTAGTAGTTTGAAGTCAGCCATGGTGAGAATAATTACACCTCCAAAATTGGCAAATGCTACAGATTGGGTTTTTCTTTTTGTTGAGAGAGAGAGAGTCACACTTGCTACATATTTATCAGCACATTATACCCACATGCATGCACATATGACCTGTACCTAGGTTTTGCCATCTGTGAAATCAGGAGAATAGTATCACCTACCTGATCAGGTTTTTGTGAGGATTTATAAGTTGTTATATGTAAAGCACTTAGAAGAAATGTTTGTCATGCAATAGTGTCCATATAAAGGTTAGCTATGTTTCAAAGCATTACTGGTACAGAAGACCTCCAAACTGTACCTTAACATTTAAAAGAAAAGCTCAGCAAAGTGTGTATAGAATGCTATCTTTTGGATATATAACAGGGAAAATTGAAAGTACATAAGAAGCCTTGGAAGGATACACAAAAGAGTGAATTGAAGTTATCACCCGGTATGTCTTTGGTTGGAGAAATGGAGTGAAGGATTTGGGTAAGAGCCAGACTCCTGACTATCTACTGTACTATCAATTTTGTTTCAAAATTATGTCAATGTATCATCTATTCAAATACAATATTTTTTAAAAAAGTTTCATTAACTCAACATGCATTTCCTCTTCATCTGTTGTAATCAAAATGCTATGGGAGACACTGTGTGAGGGGCAAAGGAGCACAGACAACAGAGAGCCATGGCCTCCGCCCTTGGAGCGCGCATGCTCTACTTGGAAAGAGGAAACGCAGGCAGACTGGCTTGGAGGGGAGGCCACAAGTCTGCCCCCGGACAGTAACACTTAAATCGTCATGATCGTGACAGGGAATGGCTCTTCCGAGATACTTACCCCGTTGTATAAGGGATGTTTATGCCTCCTAGATTAATACTTTCACATCCAACAATGAACAGGGTTGAAAAACACAGTAAAGACACACCACTGCAGATCATTGCTAGTTTTGCAGATTCTCTTGCACCAAGCTTCAATTTTTTTATAATGTAGCCTCCCAGAACAATACCAACACCGGCACTGGGGACAATAATAACACCTGGAGAGAAGGAAAGGACAGGATTGATTTATTTTATTAATTTATGACTTACTTTACGAAGTAATATATCCTATTATCTATTTTCCATTTACTCGGTTTCTACTTACTAGTACTAAGGTAGAGAAAAATACTGTAATCAAAATTGGTAGTTATAAAAATAGTCAATGGGGATGAGCATAGGGAATATACTCAATAATATTGTAATAACGATGCATGGTGTCAGGTGGGTACTAGACTTATTGAGGTGGTCACTTCGTAAGTTATATAAGTATCCTATCACTATGTTGTACACCTGAAACTAATATTGTATGTCAACTGTAACTGATTTTTTAATTATTTAAAAAGAAAAAATTATTTTAAAAATACTATAATTAGCAAAGGTTCAATGTGTGTGATTTTATAGCCTAATTTATTTTCAACACATACAATAAATAAAGGATTCATTTCCAGAACATAAAAAAACTTTTACAAAGCAATAAAATAAAGACAAGCAACCCATGAGAAAAACTTGAATGGGCCCTTGACTAAAGGGAAAATTCAGGTAACCAAAAAAACACACAAAGGTGCTCAGCCTCATTAGTAAGGGGGAAATAACAAATTTAAACCGCAATGAAAAGCTATTCCACACTAATCACATTGGTAAAAATTTAAAAGTCTAACAGTACCACAAGTTGGCAAAGATATGGAGCAACGGGCACCCTCTGGTGGGATGCAAACGGTGACACCTACTTTGGAATGATCTGGTAGAGGTGAAGGTATGCACACCCTGTGACAGGCAGTTCCATTCCGGGGCCTACACCCTGAAGAGACTGAGCACAGGGGGGCTAAAAGAGGTATACAAGATCTGCGAAGAAACATAATAGCCCAAAACTGGAGTGAACCAAATATCCACTAATAGATAAGTAATATGTAGCAAATTTATACAATGGAATGCACATTACAGCAATTAAAGTCAAAAGCCTAATTACACATAACTATGTGGATGAGTCCTACAAACACAATGTTGAATGAAAGAAGCTAAGCACAACAGAACATGTGTGTGACTGCATTTGTATAAAGTTTCAGAAGAGGTAAAATGAAATCATATTGTTTAGAAGTGCATATACTGGTAACACAACTCTGAAGAAAATCCAGGAAGTAATTGCCCTAAAAGCCAAGGCAGTGGGGGGACGGGTGGGACTGGAAAAGGCGCAGGGGCCCCTGGGGTCCTGAAGATACACCATTCCAAGGCCTGGGTGATGGGTGCGCGGGTGTTCACTTCATAATTATTCATTTCTTTACACTTTGTTTAATGTACTTCTCTGTATATTGTATTTTACAGTAAAATATTTTTAAATAGCCATAGTGCTTGTTCCAAGAACCTTAGAACCTAAAAGAGAACCAAACAGAAAAATTCAGAACACAAAAAGGAATTATACAAAAAGGGCAGGGAGAGTATAGGAAAGGAAGCATCTGAGTTTTCCCTGGGAGAAATCATGGAGGGCTTCCCAAAAGTGGCTGTATTTGAGCTGACATTCAACAGGTGAGACAGAATCTGTCCAATGCACCGGCACAAAGACAACATCCTACGCAAAGGAAACATGCAGAGGCATGAGATAGAATTGAGGATTCAGAGCAGTTCAAACAATTTGGGAATGTGGAATGCAAGCTGCCAGGAAGTGGGGCGACATGGGGAAGAGAGGTAAGGGAGAGGGAGGCCATAAGAGATCACGCACAGGAGGTCAGGTTCCACCCCTGGGCAATGAGACACCACCGAGGAATTCTGAGCCGGGGTCTGCCAAGATGGGCGTTGTGTGATACAAAGGTCATTCCTGGCCCTGAGATGTAGGATGGCTCAGATGGAGTCAAAACTACAGTCAGAGACGTGGTCAGGAAGGCAAGTACCAAGGTCCGGGAGAGCCATGGTCAGGCTCTATCTCGACGGCAAGATAAATTAGCGGAGGAGGACAAGTACAGAGAAAGGACTACTGCCCAGCAGGCTGGGCAACAGTCAGCCAGATGTGCCTCGCACTGCTGCACGTGGGCCTGTAGCACTATTCAAGGCGCAGGTGGGCTCTGACAAGACTGAACAAAGAAAAGCGGCGGGCCCGAACCAGAGCTCAGGGGAGCACCAGTGTTCGGAGGGGTCACAAAAGATGAGCCCACAGAGGAAACTGAGCATGAGCAGCCACGGAGGGGTGAGGAAACCTAGGACCGATAAATGTGTTAGGGTGGAGAAGCCTGGGCTTTGGATTCAAAAAGGCTGGAATTCAAATCTGCACTCATCTTTTGTAGCCATGGGATCACATGTAAGTAAGCATAAGCTTCCTCAAGGCTCTAAACCAGGTTCCTTAACTTCATCAGGGAGATGCCCACCTTTCATGTTAAAATGAAGATTACTGACACTATCTGTAGCCACAGTACATTGTATATTATACACAATATAAATTGTAGTTATTACCATTACAGTTGTGCCATAGAAACCAAGGAAAGGGAGTTTCAAGGAGAAAATGAAGACTGTCAAACGCCTCAGAGAATTCCAATAGGATAAAGACTAAAGTGAAACAACATCACTGGAGATCTTGGTGAGAGCAATTTCCAGAGCATCCTGAAGGGGGAAACCAGATCTCAGTGGCTGACTGGTCAGTCATGTGGATTTGGAAACTGGAATCCGCACTGCGTTTTCAGAACTTTGGCTGTAAGAATGGGGAGGGCTATGGGTCCATAGATAGAGTTGGGGCTTTCAGAGTCTTGTTTGTTTGCTAAGATACGGAGAGGCTGAAGCATATTTATATAGAGTATGGCAAAAATAGACTAAAAAGGAGTGGGAGGTAGAATGTAGAGGGAGAAGTTTACTTAATATCAACACAAGATCCTTGAGAAGTCAGCACGGATGATCAGATTAGCCCTGGATAGGGAGAGATCCCTTCCTCTGGGCTAGGAATAGGATGGGGAAGGGGGAGGGAGAGAGAATTCCCTGGGTGGGCAGTAGCTTTTCTGTTTCCTTATTCTCCCAGTATTTTGGAAACATAATGTAATACATGTTGTAGCAGAACATTTGAAAAGCATAGGAAAGTGGGAAGAAACAAAAATCCACTGCTTACATATTTCACTTTTTTTTCTGGTTTTTTCCTTCAAGAAATGATAACATGCTGCCAATTTGTTTGTTTTTCTTTATAGAATTGTTTTGGGGTTTTTTTTTTCTGATAATTAAAAATAAAAGTAACTCTTAGAGGAAAGGTATACTGAGATTTTAAATATGGCCAAGGCTTGGGATACCCTTGGTAATAAAGAGAACAGAAACAGGAATGTGTCATGGGCTCGGCATGTGTGGAGAACTGCGCACCCAGATGACGTGAGATTCCAGAGGCCTGCCGCTGCGTCAGTGCACACGGTTGGAGGGCTCGCTTCAGCGTGTTCAACAACCCATGTAAAGGAGCAGAGAAGGAGGGCTGGATTTATCGAAAGTCTGGGCTCTGCCTGGCAACCAGTGTTCATCTTGTAATCCTCACTGTAGTCCCGATTTCATAAAATCAGTCACAGCCCTTGTGCAGATGAGGAAATTGACCACTCAGAAAAGTGACTTGACCACTAGTGCACACAAGGGAGGGAGACGCTCAATAAAAACTGAGGTCTCTGATTCCCAGCTCTGTCCACATCACCATGGCAGCCTCTTAGGCTCAGCCAGTCCCTGGAATCTTCTAGGTAAATTGACCAGGGCTCTGTCTGGGCTTCCGGGAGCTGGTTAGTAAAGTATCTGCCTCATTAAGGAAGGGTACACATGCTGTCATCACGATTAAGTAGGCAAAGCTTTAAACCGAGAATGAAAATGGTACATTAATAAAATTTCTATTTCAGGTGAGCAATCTATGGAGTGACAAATACTCTGCAGACCCCCAGGTCAACAACAAAACAAGTCCCCGTCCTCATAACTGACTCATAATTTAAAAGCAGTATAATTTATTGGACTCCACATCTTAATTAGTACTCAGCTCTTAAAAACAGGGCGTTTGTCATCAGTAAATATGAGGTTACATCAAACAGAGTAAACACCTATTAAAATATCCTTCTAATGTCTCTCAGCATCTAAATCTCACCACACTATCAACACAGAAAGGTTCTGAGTATTCACTCATACTAATGTGTCCATCGCTCAGGTCTCCTGTTTGAGTAAGAGGCGCAAATATTTCCTTGTTGGAGTTGATGACCAGTGGGATGGGTAGGGAAGATTTGGGGCTGCAGAGCAAGGGGGTAGGGCATGACAGTGGAGCCTTCTCACCGCCTCCTGACTCTGGGAAACCAGCTTTGTTGGCTTGGGGCTAGCTTATGGAGAACATGGCGGGCTGGGAGTCCATTTCCCCACCTACCACTACCCTGCCGTCTAGGTGCCCCAACTTCCACATTTCCTTGTGAAGAGAGGAAAATAATTATGTAAGGTGGGCTCTCTGGGCAGAAATGGCCTCACTCCAATTCCCATCACTGACAGGCGCTCCCCTTCCCTTCCCTCTGTTCCCAGGCCCCTGACAGCCAGCTCCTGTACTGCCTCTGCTCCTCCGAGCCTCGAGCCTCGGCATCTGATCCACCTCCCCTCCAGCCCCAGCGGGATTGTTCTGCCGTCCCAGAATTTTTGCTCCTCATGCCCTCTAGTGGCCTAGACATGGGAAAGGGGAACTGGCGGGGGATGCCCAAGGACATCTGAGCAGCTGGTGACCAGGGACACCTCTGGTACAAGTATGAGGGGGAGAGGAAGGGACCAAGCTAAGATGGGAACACATGGACCAAGCCCAGGACCCACCTAAAATACAACTGGTAGAGGGAAGAAGCCAATGTAACTGCAAGTGTCTAAGAGAAAAATCCATGTAAGAGTATGAGCAGTGTAGACAGACTCCCTGAGTTTGAAACTCAGCTCTGCCACCTACAAGCTGCATGTTTCTGACCATTCCCAGGCCTTGCATTTTCTCATCTGTAAAATATGGGTAAGAATAGTATCTTGCTCATAGGGTTATTAGGATTAGACAAGT